GGGTCCCAGTTACATCCAACAATAAAATGTATAAGAAAAACAGTAATAACATCTAAGATATGAACTAAGAAAAACATCAAATAAATATACACTAAGCACTCATAACATAAAACATTGAACATCAGCACAAACATGAACATGAGTCTGTGAGCAGATGTGCACGCATGAACACATCAACATTGAAACAGATCAGCAGCAACATGAAACAGATCAGCAGCAACATGATGTGGTTTTTCACAGTGATTATTCTAGTTAGAGATTCATGAGTCTAACAACCTCAGGGTAGAAGCTGTTCCTCAGTCTAGTGGTTCTACACTTAATGCTCCTTAACCTCCTTCCTGAGGGGAGTGGGGCAAAAAGTGTGTGTGCTGGGTGGGTGGGGTCCTTCATGATGCAGGTGGCCCTCTTCCTGCATCTGGAGGTGTAGATGTCTGTGATGGTGGGGAGGCTGACTACAACATCTTCTGTGCAGCCTTCACCACTCTCTGCAAAGCTTTTCTTTCGGCAGCTGTGCAGCCTCCATGCCACACGTTGATGCTGGAGCACAGGATGCTCTCCACTGCACACCTGTAGAAGGAGGTGAGGACTGAGCTTCCAGACCAGCTCGTCTCAGCTGTCTGAGGAAGTAGAGTCTCTGATGATCTTTCTTCATCAGGCTGGTGGTGTTGTTGCTCCAGCTGAGGTTGTCATTCATGTGTACACCCAAGTACTTGTGGCTGGAGACCACTTCCGCCACAGATCCTCTTATGTTCAGGGGGGTGTAGATGTTTTCGTTCCTTCTGAAGTCCACAATCATCTCCTTTGTCTTCTTCACATTGATGTGAAGATTATTCTCAGTTATTCTCAGTTCTCAGATTATCTGGAGTCACTGAATCTTGTTAATACACCAAGACAGCCCCTGGTTTACTCCAGAGCTGGCTGACCTCCTGCACAGGAGAGATCATCTTTGGGCCACAGTGAGAAAATCTGACTCAGACACTGATTGGTTGAGTTTTCGACAGATGAGGAATAAATGTACAACTGCTGTCAAAGCAGCAAAACGCAACTATTTCTTATCTCAGACCTCCAAAAATCTAAATGACCCCAACAGATTCTGGAAAACCATCAAATCTCTCTCAGGCACCCCCCAATCATCTGACCTCCCATCACAACTTCTCATTAACTCTGTTCCTGTGTCAAATAAGCACGAGATCCTGAACTGTTTCAACAAACATTTTGTTGCTTCTGGTTCTTTATTTGACACAGTTACTAATGGAAGATCAGCCACTTCACTTAATAACCAAACTTCTACAAATCAAATCCCTCCTACAAGTCAATCCTCAGTTAATCACAGCTTCTCTTTTTCTCCATTCTCAGTCAGTGAGGTCAATAAACTGTTAAAAGATCTTGACCCTAAAAAATCTGCAGGTCCAGATGAACTTCCACCTTATTTCTTAAGGCTGGCTGCTCATATCATCACAGTCCCTGTGACTCACATCTTCAATCTCTCCATGAGACAAAACTCCATCCAGACACTTAAGGATTACTGTGCTGCACTTTTCTTAGACATGTCTAAAGCTTTTGACACTGTGGATCAGAACATCTTGTGTCATAAACTCTCAGAAATTGGTTTCTCAGAACACACCATTGGTTGGTTCTCTAACTATCTTTCAGACCGGAGGCAATGTGTTCAACATAATGGTACTTCCTCCAGTTATTTAACAGTCAACAATGGTGTACCACAAGGCTCAGTCTTAGGACCCACCCTCTTTACAATCTACATACAGAATGTAGGTAAAAACATCCCTAATGCATCCATACATTTCTATGCTGATGACACAGTTGTTTATTGTCGAGCTAAAACAGTTGCTAAGGCTTTCCAGCTTTTGAAATCTGCATTCAACAACATCCAGACTGATTTGTTTCGCCTCAAACTTGTCCTAAATGCCGACAAAACCAAAGGGATGCTTTTTTCAAATAGGAAGTTGGTCCCAGCAGTTCTTCCTCCGATTTTATCCTCAAATGGTGTCCCCATTGAGTTTGTTGATTCCTATAAATATTTGGGTATCTTGGTCGACTCACATCTTTCTTTTAAGCTCCATGTGGAAAACTTGGTAAAGAAACTGAAAGTTAAACTGGGTTTCTTTTTCAGAAACAAATCCTGTCTAACCCTGAATACTAGAAAATGCCTTGTATCTGTGACTTTCCTTCCCTCAATTGATTATGGTGATATTATTTACATGAACGCTCCTACAAGAACCTTGCAGATGTTGGATGCTGTCTATCATGGTGCACTAAGATTCATAACTGGCTGTGATTATCGTACCCACCACTGCACCCAGTATTCACTGGTTAACTGGACATCATTAACTTCACACAGACTCTCTCACTGGTACATTTTCATCTTTAAATCACTTCTTGGTCTGTTGCCTTCATACATCTCCTCCTACATGTCTCTGCGTGAGTGCAGCTACAGCGTGCGCTCTCAGGACATTATTACCTGCAGTGTTCCCTCAATGAGGACTGAACTAGGCAAAAGGGCCTTCTCCTATTCCGCTCCTGTTTCCTGGAATATCTTACAAAAAGATTTGAAGCTCTCGACCTTGACCTCTCTAAGTGTTTTAAGAATCTGTTGGACTCCTGGCAGGGTCCAATGCAGACATGTTCCTGTTGTTAGTTTTCTACATTTGTCTTGGAATCTAGCTGTTTTTTGTTTTGTTACCTTTTCCTTTTAGCCATCCTATTTGTTAAAAAAAAAAACTGTAGTATGCTTTTTTATAACTGTTTATTGTTGTTGCTGTTGTCCATTGTTGTCATCTTTCTTTGTTGAAATCAGGTCTCTCTTGTAAATGAGTCCTCGAGGCTCAATGGGATTTACCTGTCTAAATAAAGGTTGATTGATTCTCTTTGCACCAGCTCTCCAGGTGTTCCACCTCATGCCTGCAGCTGGACTCATCATTGTTTGTGATGCATCCCACCACCGCTGTATCATCTGCAAACTTTACAATGTGACAGCCTGGATGGGTAGCTGCACAATCATATGTGGGCAGAGTGAACAGGAGAGGGCTCAACACACATCCCTGAGGAGAGCCAGTGCTGAGGGTTATGGTGGAGGAGGAAAAGTGTGGATCCTCACTAACTGTGGTCTGTTTAAGAAGTCTAGAGCCCAGTTGCAAATGTAGGGTCTTAGTCCCAGTGTGGATAGTTTGTCCATCAGGGTTTGGGGGATCATGGTGTTGAAGGCGGATGTGAAGTCCACAAAGAGCATACGGACGTAAGAGTTTTTCTGCTCCAGGAGGTTGAGCGCAGTGTGGTCCACAGAGGAGATTGCATCCTCTGTTGATCGGTTCTCACGGTATGCATACTGATGAGGGTCCTCGTTGATGTTGATGGTTGTTTTGATGCGAGTCATGACCAGTTTTTCGAAGCATTTAGCGACTATCGGGGTGAGGGCCACTGGCCGATAGTCATTCAGACCAGTCACTGTAGAGCTTTTTGGGACTGGGATGATGGTGGCAGTCTTCAGGCAGGTGGGAAC